ATCAAATCATGTATGATGTATAGTATGGGTGGTCAACAAGCCAGATTGGGTGGGTTCGGGCCGAAAAGTGACACCTGATCTAAACTGTGGTTGAATAAATTAGCCTCATTTTTCAAATTTGTTTTGACGGGTTGGGTTAGCCTGTGTTACAGGTTATTTTCGTTGATTTATTCAAATTATTCGACTTATCCATGTTTATGCCCAATTAAATTATTTGATCTTGGCAAAAATATAATTTTTTCTTATATTGAATTTCAAAAATTCAATGTAAAAATATTTCAAACACTTAAATTAGGTACCATTTAAAAGTGATATTATAATATTCATATACATTTTACTTTCCCTGATGAATAATTTTACTTTCCTTTTTAATTATAAAGAAATTAACTTTTAAATTCAACTATAAATTTTCTTATAATTACAATTTATTTGGTTACTTTATAAATAAGTATAATCACATTCGAAATATTCAAAATCTATATATTCATCCAAATTTAATAAAAATAGAAGAAAGTGTAATATTCAAAATCTGATTGAAAGGTTATACAAAAATAAAAAAAAATTAATATTCTACCACACTAACGCTTTACAAAATGAAAAATGTAATATTGATTGGGGTTGAACCGTTTGGAATACATGTGTTGTTTTTCATCTTCATCAAATATGGGTCGATAGTAGCCGTGGTAGTAATGTCCCGGAGCCCGGCTACCGACCCGAGGCGCTGATCGGGAAAGTCATAAAGGGACGTTAAACGTAATTCTAGAAGGGCGTTACCACAAAAAAAAATCCGAGTCTTGGTAGTTTACTTGCTTACTTGTTAGAGTCAGGCAGTTGAAGTGAAAGTTTATTAGACTAGTCCCACTAAGATGGCGGGGAAACTAACTTCCGAGAGAGCTGCTTTCGCCTCGGTAATTACCTAACGAGAGAGAGCCGATGCCAAAGTAGCCAGCCCTTTACGCGAGGGAACGCCAGACAGACTGATCGTATCAGAGGTTATGTTCCTTTTTGCTTTTTTTCGGGCTTCTTCTCATTCTTCTTTGGCACCTACGGTAGAGATCGGGGGTATTTGGCCCCCAAAAGGGATTGGGGTTTTAGATCCTCGGGAAATCCCATTTCTTAATACCCCTATTCTCCTTTCATCCGGAGCAGCCGTAACTTGGGCTCATCATGCTATACTCGCGGGGAAGGAAAAACGAGCAGTTTACGCTTTAGTAGCAACATTTTTTCTTTAAAAGATTTAAGTATGAAAACTACAACAACAAATTAGGTATACAACAATCAATTTTAAATTTGAAAACTATAACAACAACAAATTTGGTTGTACTAAAACTACAACAATAATGGATTTGTAATTTTTTGATCATTTTAAGATCTATTTTTTGTTAGATATGTTTTTTTGAGAGGTTTTTCAGATCTAGATTATAAAAAAAACCCAAATGAATATTACATTTTTATTTTTGCAAAGCCTTTGTGTGGTAGAATATTAAATTTGTATTTTTTGTATAACCTCTCAATCAAATTTTGAATATTACATAAGCCTTTATTTTTATTAAATATGGATGAATACATATATTTTGAAATTTAAGAATGTGATTTAGGTTTATTTATTAAATAATCAATTAAATTATTACTATAAGGAAATCTTAAATTGAATTTAAGAGTGATTTTTTTTCTACTAAAAAAGATAAGTAAAATTATCCATCAGGAAAAGTAAAATGAATATGAATATTATAATATCACTTTTAAGTTTTGACCAATTTAAGTGTTTATAAGAGAACAAATTAGATTTTGTCACGATCAAATAATGTAATTAGGCCTAAAATAAATAAGTCGAATAACCTAAATAAATTGACCGAAATAACTTGTAACCTGTACTAAGTACTAACCCAATTCGCCAAAATCAATTTGAGAAATGAGCCTAGTTTGTTCAATCGCGGTTTAGGCCGGATGTCACTTACGGGTCCAAATCCATCCAACCCGACCTGTTGTCCACCCCTACTCTATACCATACACAATTTGATCGACCTCCAAAAAAAATAAAGAGGACTTTGTGCTGACATCATCACTTTCTTTCAAGCATTACTCAATCATGTCTCTCCCTAATAAATGGTCAATATCCTTCTGCATAACTTTTTAAAATAAAGTTAAACCATTTTTTCTTTGCTTTTGAGTAGGACATACTAGTATCTATTTATATTATAAAATTTTATTTTCTTACTTTTTATTTCCCACTTGCGTTATAAAGAAGCAAAACTAAAACCTACTTAACATTGTATCACATTAATATATAGTTTTGCAAGTATAAGAGCAAAACTAAAACCTAAAACATAATTAACACCATATCACATAAATATAAAGTGTTGCAAAAGAACTTACACATCTTATGAATGAAGTATACAATATGAGAAACACTACATTCTTTTGATATCTTTTAATCTTGCAGAACGGTACTGCACAATATTTAGAGCGTCTTTTCTTATTTTTATGAGTGCCACTTATTGTGAAATGAGAGCAATTAACGAACATACCAAGTTTTAGAATATGAAGAAGAATTTTTCAAAACTGAAACATACCAGTGGGTTTATTAGGACGTGGGTGGTGCTTAACTCTATCCATTGATTATGCTCCACTTTTTTCTTCCTGTAAAGAAAGGATAAGGGTAAGAGCTATGAAATTTGCTTTTACTTCTTTATAGTGTAAGTGTAAAATAATAAGTAAGAAAAGAAAAATTTATATTATAATAATATATTAATATGTCATTCTCAGAAGTAAAGAAAATTTGGTTTAACTTTATTTTAAAAAGTTGTGTAGAAGGATAGTGACCACTCATTGGAGAGGAAAATGATTGAGTTATGCATGAAATAAAGTGATGATGTCATGCAAGGTCCTATTTGTTTTTTTTTTATGTCATGCCGGATCCTATTTGTTGTAGAGTAGGGGTTGCACACCGAATTGGGTTGAGCGAATTCGGACCCAAAAGTGACATCCGACCTAAACCGCGGTTGAACAAATTAGGTTAATTTCTCAAATTGATTTTGACGGGTTGGGTTAACACGAGTTATAGGTTATTTCAGTCAATTTATTCAAATTATTCGACTTATCCATTTTTAGACCCAATTATATTATTTGATCTTGGCTAAATCTAATTTGTTTTTATATTGAATTTCAAATTTTCAATGTAAAAATATATAAAACACTTAAATTGAGCAACCTTTAAAAATAATATTATATTATTCATATATATTTTACTTTTTCAGATGATCAATTTTACTTTTCCTTCTGATTAAGAAAAAAATTATTTAATTATTTAATAAGTATAAATTACATTCTGAAATTTCAAAATCTATATATTCATCCAAATTTAATAAAAATGGAAGCAAATGTAATATTTAAAATATGATTAAAAGGTTATATAAAAATTTAATAGTCTATCACACAAGTGCTATGCAAAAATAAAAATGTAATATTGATTCGGGTTGATTCGATTGAACTACATTTATTGTTCTTCATCTTCATCAATCGTTATTCTTCATCTTAATCAATTTTTTTTTAGAAAAATTTAAATATAAAAACTACAACAACGACAAATTCAGTATGCAACAATTAATTTGAGATCTGAAAACAATAACAACAATAAATTTGATTTGACTAAAACTACAATAACAATCAGTTTTTGATTTCTTGATCGGTTTTTAATCTATTTTTTGTTAGATATATTTTTTTGTGCGATTTGTTAGATCTAATTTTTTAAAAAAATATATATAAAAATACAGTTTAAAACTGATGGAGTAAAGATAAAAATTTGTTGACGTAATTTAAATCAATGTCATGCTGTCCTAAAGCATCTGCGTTATGAATGACTAGCGTCCAAACGGGCACTCGCGTGTCCGTCTGTCCGCTTTATTATTGCACACATATAAATATAAATAATATATTTTTATTTAATATTAATTTTACATGGAAGTTATGTGGGAAGTTATTAGTAGGGAGTTATATGAAAGATGATAGTAGTAGTTCAATGAAAGTTATTGTGTAAGTTATATATTTTAAAATAAGGGTAAATTTGGTATAAAAAAAAGTTATACCAAAAACCAAGTATTGCCTTTATATATATGTTATAGATTATAAATGAACAACTTTAATTTAAGCTAAGGGTTTAAATATTAACAACGATCATTATTTAGATTTGAATATTTTTAAAGAAAAAATTGGTGAAGATGAACAATATAAAAATAAAGTTGAAAATTAATGAAGATGAATATAAACAGTATAATTGATAAAAATAAAAACCAATTAATTTTTGAATAAAAATTCAACAAATTATCTACTGGTAATCAATAATAAAACCATAAAATAATTAGATTTTTTGAGATTAAATTATCACATTTTATGACTTATTTTTTATAAAAAAAATACTTTGTTTCTATTTATAAATTTTTTTTTTTATATTTATTAAATAATTAATATATCTGTATCATAAATCAAATATATTAATTATTCAATAAATTTAAAAAAATCAACTTTTCGTATAAATAAGAGATAACTCAACATATTTGTTAGGATTTACTTTTAAAGTATATGAAATGTTCTTTTTATTTAAAGATCTATATTTGACAAGATATACTTTAAACTATGATAAAAGACAAAAAATAAATAGTAACACAAGTTATTGTAACTAATTTAACATTAAAAATATAGTAAAACGAAACGTGACAGAGAAACAAAGAGCATGGAGAAAGTGATGATGAGGTAAGAGAAGCTTGAATATCACAAATCACTGCAACCAACGGCCATACTCCAGGGCCATTTTCGTAAATCCACTCATACCCTTCTTCACCCATCACTCTCACTTGCTAAAAAAGCTTCTACTGTATGTAATGTATGTATTTGGTATTCACCCTCTCAATTCTCACTGCAGCTTCTACTCTTTTTCTATTTATGTAACCAACAATCTTATCTTTATTCATTCCAAAACATTGTTTTGATTTCAAAAAGTATCCATGGAAACTGGGTTGAACTCAGAATCACATAACAAAAGAGGTGCCAGTGTTGAACCCAAGGTGGGACCTTTTGTTCCTAAAACTGATCGCAACCCAAGAGATTTACGTTCATGGGCCAAGAGAACTGGTTTTGTTTCTGATTATTCAGGTGAAGCAGGGACTAGTGGAAGTGAAAAGTTTGAATCTTTTCAACCGAGAGGAAGAGGGTCTTCATCTTCTCCTAAGATAGAGATAGATCCGGTTTTGGGGAGGATGAGAGACAATAGGGGAGTTGAGATCGAGCCAGCTTTACATGGAGGAGTTGGTTTGGAAGAGAGTGTGAGAAAAGAGAATGAGACTGACAGTGACAGGAAAGTCGGTTTTAGAGGGAATGGTAATGGTGGGAATGGCCATGGAGTATCTGCGGTTGCTCCAGTGACAGAGGAAAAGGATGAGGAAGAGAATGTGGTACATGATGAAGTTAAGGTTAATTTGTATGATGAAGAAGGAGTGGAACCTTTGGATGGTGGTTGGAAGGGACCATCAGAACTGAAGTGTGGACTTATGGAAAATCCGGGTTTTGGTTAGTTTATGTTCATGGTTTTTCTATTGATTATGATTTTGAATTGTCTCTTACATGATTTATGCTTATGTTTTATATTTTAGAATTCTAGTTTTGTTTGAATTGACTTGATTCGGATATTTTATACTTACACTTTTGTATCTTCTACTGCAGTATCTCTTATCTATTATGGCTTACAACACTATCTATCATTGGCTGGTTCACTTGTATTGATCCCATTAGTCATGGTACCGGTTATGGGTGGAACCGATGTAAGTGTATGCTATTGTTTACGATTGACTCTCTACGACAATTGATAGCTCTTCTGGTTTTTATCTATTCATATTTACATTATTAATCACTCATAACAGAAGGATACTGCTACTGTAATTTCTACAATGTTGTTTCTTTCTGGCATCACAACGATACTTCACGTTTACTTTGGGACCCGATTGCCTTTAGTTCAAGGGAGCTCATTTGTGTATTTAGCACCGGCGTTAGTCATTATAAATGCTCAAGAATATCGGAATCTTACAGAACATGTAAGTTCTTACTTCATTAAAAAACGGAAAATCTTAATTTATCATAAACACTCGAGGCTCTTAATCCTGGTTATTTCAATTTGCAGAAATTTAGGCACATAATGAGAGAACTTCAAGGTGCTATAATTGTTGGTTCGATATTCCAATGTATCTTGGGATTTAGTGGCTTGATGTCTATCCTACTCAGGTAACAAGAAGTTTTATGTCATATCTTCATTCTATCCATCGTAAATATCTCTCTTCGTGTCTTCGATTTAGTAAATTTATATATTGTATTAGTATGATCATGATGTTTTGCTACCTCGTTGAAAATTTACGATGTGTGTTGAGTAATATGTGAGATAAAGAGATGCATGATATTGCTCAATGAAGGGATAAAAAAATACTGAACTTTTATCAAAAGAGTGTTGTCACGATTTTAGTTTCGAATATCAACTGTTTATAATTTTACAATTTTGTTGTAGGTTAATCAACCCAGTTGTGGTTGCGCCGACTGTTGCTGCTGTAGGTTTAGCATTCTTCAGTTACGGTTTTACACAGGCTGGCATTTGCTTGGAAATTTCTGTTCCACAAATAGCACTGGTTCTATTATTCACTCTGGTGAGTAATGCAGCACCAATCACTGGTTCTAAAGTAACTGCTTGATTTATAAACAGGTCACGGGATTTTTGAACTTTATCAAATTATTTTATGTTCAGAAACTCACTACTTATTCTTTTTGTTTCGTTTGAAGTATCTCCGAGGAATATCTATCTTTGGACGCCATTTATTTCGAGTTTATGCTGTAAGTTTCTTACATTAAGTCTATTTTTCTTCATTTTATATTTAGAGTGTGTGGCTATAGTAACAAACCCTTACGAATTACTTTTTAATATTTGTAGGTTCCGTTGAGCGTAGCAATAGTTTGGATATACGCATCATTTTTAACAGCCGGGGGTGTATATAATTACAAAGGATGCAATCCTGATATACCGAGTTCAAACGTTCTTACAGAAGTGTGTAGAAAGCATGTGTATACCATTCAACATTGCAGAACTGATGTTTCCGATGCATTGTCTACTGCGGCATGGGTCAGAATTCCTTATCCTTTACAATGGGGTTTCCCTATTTTCCACTTTAGGACTTCCATAATCATGGTCATAGTGTCACTCGTTGCTTCAGTAGATTCAGTAAGTATCATACTTAAATTTTTAGATGGATTTTCGTTTTGAAAGTAAGGATCACATCTAGTGGCATATCTAGAACTGAGTTGTTGGTTTATCCTTTTTTCTAGGTTGGAACTTATCGTACCGCGTCTCTTCAAGTTAATTCAAGGCCTCCAACTCCAGGAGTTGTAAGCCGAGGAATTGCCCTGGAGGGTTTCTGTAGTATATTGGCCGGTCTTTGGGGTTCAGGTACTGGTTCAACGACTTTGACAGAAAATGCGCACACAATTAACATCACAAAGGTGGCAAGTAGGAAGGTAGTGGAACTTGGAGCAGTTTTCTTGATCCTGTTCTCATTTATAGGTAAAGCAACAAACACTCTGCAAAAAACCCTTGGTTCACTAAAAAACTCCTAACTGTCCGTACATTCATCTTTCATTTTCTCTCCATTTTGTTGCATGCTGGTTGGTGGGGAGGATCCGAGGACGTGCACTAGTTTCGTTTTGATGCATTTTTAGTCCTCCAAATACGACTCTTACCTAATTTATGTCTCAGTGATAAGTGCAGATAGCAGCTATGGCAATGCTGTCGCACTTTAGTTTAGAAGAATTCAAACAAACCTCTATTTTCCGCGATACACAATTGACAATACATTGTATTTTTGTAGGAAAAGTGGGTGCCCTTCTTGCTTCTATTCCACAGTCATTGGCTGCTGCGGTACTATGTTTCATGTGGGCTCTTACGGTAACATTGGGTCTATCAACTTTACAGTATGGTCAATCCGCCAGTTTCAGGAACATGACAATCGTTGGCGTGGCGTTGTTCCTTGGTATGTCCATTCCATCTTATTTTCAACAATATCAACCCGAATCGAGTCTTATACTGCCTAGTTATCTGGTTCCGTATGCGGCAGCATCAAGTGGACCATTTCATTCAGGCCTTAAACAAGTAAGTCACCTTAAAAACTTGTTTAGACTATTAAACTCCCTTATATTTTCTCTTTCGATGAAGATGAGCTAAGTTGTTATTTTCTCTGTCCAAAACTTATCAGCTTGATTTTGCGATCAATGCTCTTATGTCCATGAACATGATGGTTACACTGTTGGTGGCATTTCTACTGGACAACACTGTCCCGGGAAGTAAACAAGAACGGGGAGTGTACGTATGGTCGAAAGCTGAAGACATTGCCGCAGATGCCTCGCTGCAATCTGAATATTCGCTGCCGAAGAAACTTGCATGGTGTTGCTGTTGGTTAAAGTGTTTAGGAGTCTAATACTGGGACATTATTGTAACAAACACTTAAAGAAAAAATGTCACTCCTAAGAGCTTAGAAGATATTGCAGATCATGAAGAGAAAGGTAAATGTATACATTGTAATATTAATATAGTTACAGCAACATTAAATTGGAGAAAGCTTTCTGAATTTAACTATACAAAATCCAATGAAACAAAGAATAAATTGGTATTAATTTGAAATTTTAGCTGATTTGTTGCTCTGCCATTCTTCAAGAAAGGAACGGAGGGTGTAATTTGGTGTAAGGGATGTGTGTTTGAGCCTTAAGTTTGTCATTGGTGATGTATCATGTCCTGAATGCAACCACTGTTCTATTGCTTCTAGCTCATAAGAAAATCCATCTGCTGCCACATGTGGATTTTTCATTACCTCCTGTGCACCAATCATCATAAAAATGTTACTTCATTAGATTAGAATATACTTATATATATATATAGTGTGCATAATCCTAAGCGTAAATCCTCTCAAGGTCTCAATTCGAATACTGCTAGGTGCTAAAAATCTCAGTGTTGGAACAATCAGTCCATACCGAATTTTGCTGACTTTAAATGAGATTGGTCCCCTACTTTAGTTTGTTGCAAGACCGAATACCAAACTAAATCTGTGAAAAATAATAAAAAGATGAATGGACTAACCTGTTGTATAGGGCAAAGGAAAACACTGGGCACATCACTAGATCCTTCTCTATCTATGCATCCAGTAATGGTTATCTTTCTATCTTCTTTTGCAACTATTTCATCACCCTTTCTTCTTATCTTATTGAGTTCTTCTATCACCTTTGCAATAGTTAGATTTTGGTTGGGTTTGCTATTCATGGTCATGCAAATCATAGCCAGGTTCACAAGTTCTTTTGCTAGATCCAATGGCCATTGTCCTGCCATGTCATCAAGAATGTTAACCAATGTTTCTCTATCCATGTCCATTGTCATGAGCTCCTCAATGGGCCCATCCCAAATTCTTCCAGTCAATAGCTGCATCAATAAAACCCCAACGACACGTAAATCTGACTCGACATTGCATTCGTTGTCATTGTTACACTCTTGAAGCCCAAAGCCTGTGATTTTTGCAACTAAATTGCGGTCTAGGAGAACATGTGCTGGGCTCAAATGACAATGAATGACAGACCTTTGTTGAGATGAATTCAGAAAGCCCAGTCCAGAGCATACTTCTGTCACAATACGTATTCGATCGTGCCAACGTAAGCCTCTATTTCTTCTTCTGGTAAACAACATGTCTTGTAAGCTCCCATTGCCCATGTATTCAAAAACTACGCATTTTGGCTCGGAGCAGAAGCCAACCACAGCAACTAGATGTGGGTGCCTAATATCACCAAGAAACCTTACCTTAGATTGAAAATCCTCTTGAGACAAAGAAGCAAAAGAAGACATCATCTTAATCGCAACGGTAGAGTGGTTAAACCGTCCTCTATACACATTACTCCAATCTTCACCGCGCTTCAATCTCAACCGCTGTGAAAAGTTATCGGTCGCCAACCTCAACTCCTCCTCACTATACTCCCTCATCCCACAACTCGTGCCACCATTGTCGCTCAACCTCGCTGCCATACCTATAGCATCTTTCTGCTTACAAAACTCGATCCTTCGATTCAATACATCTCTCTGCTTCCTCAACTCCTCTATCTCCCTCACCATGTTATTTCGCTCCCTCACTGCTCTCTCTACCTGCGCCTCTGCTCTTGATCTCGATATTGTTGAAAGTTGAAGCTTGTTTGATAGTTCTGATTGAAGCTCTACTAATGAATTCATCCTTTGCTTTCTCTCTTTAATATCTGTTCTCATTTCTTCTCTTTGCTCTTTCTCTAAATGCAGTTCCTTGTTGAGCTTCTCCTTTGTACTCACTTCTTCCCTTATTCTACCTTCAAGTTCTTCAGCCTAAAAATTTACCATAATTAATTATTATAGCATGTTGAAAAAAATTAAAGTGTTTCCAAGTTGGTTTTACTTAAATCAAATGGTTACACTCAAATACTTAATAAGATTTACTAAAGTCAATTTCTTTAAAAGAATCTGAATGAAAATTTACTCGGCCACGACAAAAAGAGAATCGGTCAGTCTGACACTGTTCTGCCAACCCTAAGCACATATAAAACATGATATACATCTAAGCACAATAGACATGAATGCTAGACACAATACTAACACGTTGATATTAATAAAAATTTGAAAAATAGATAAATTAAACAAAATCACATATGTAAACATATCTATTTGACACCAACAAATTTTTCATCAGAAGCATCGATGCTAAAGAGCTACTTTTAATATAACAAATCATAAAACAAATTAAATATTACTCTGCTGTTGCATAAGCTAATTGCCCATTCAGCTTTTGTGCGCCTTTCTAGATTTTCCTTAGATTCTTTTTTCTTCAACTCGATGGTTTTGCATAAGATCTCAATTTTTTCTGTAGTATTCTGTATGCGAGAAAAATCAAACAATATTATGATCAATAAATTAAATAATTATTAGAAACACATAACTGTAAATATCATAGTTTAAATTCAGTCGTTCAACTTAACAATATCAGCATCTATAAGTTGAAATAGGATTTGCGGACCATAACGTATAATTATTAACCCTAAAAATTCTGATATGAAATAATAAAATGTATGAAATGCCAAAACATTTGGTATCCAAAAGAAAAAATGGACAGCTAATCACGAATTTAGGACAAAATTGAAATTTGACAATGCATTCCAATTTAATTCTTTGTAATAACCAATGATCTAACAACTCTCAAGAACAAACAAACAGACACAACAAATAAATAACAACATTAATCAATGTCCACATATTTTATTCAAAATATCCATCTATTGTCTCTAGAGTTACCTTATTAGAATTGTTCAACTCAGTGACAAGTGGCCCAATTTTTGTACCAACGTGCAAGTCATCATTCTCCTGCACATAAATTCCTTCCTCCAAATTTGAAGATAACAACAATTCTTGATAATAATTTTCTATGTCTTGAAGATAAAACTCCCATTGATTTTGAACCAAACTGGTTGATGAAGGAGAAGCACTTAATCTATTCTGAGAATAATCACTTATTTTGTCACTAAACATTTTGTCTAACCAATCCTTAAAAGTCACCTTATCTTTCATTTTTGCTACCATTACTCCACTATCATCTTCCATGATTTTCTCATCATTGTTTCCCCTTAGAGAAACTTGCTTCCCACCACATATAATGAATAATTCACATAAACTAGGTTTGTGTTGATGAACATAGAATAATCCACTAATAGCACCTTTTGATTTCCTAATTAAAAATTAAGAAAATAAAATATTAAATAAAAAGTTATTTTTTATAGAATTTTCAAGATTAGATTAGGAAAAAAATGAAGATTACATACATAGAAGGCTTCATGGCTGAAAATCCCATAACCAATTTGGTTATTTCTAATTCATTTATGATATCGATGATGTGCTTCTGTATCGGTTCATCAAATTTATCGATTTCAAGAATTTTTGCTGACACCTGTAATATATCGTTCAACTTTACTTAAAAGTCGGTTTGATATTTTCATTATGCATCTTAAACAATATTTTTTGTTATGATATGAGGGATTGAAATTTGTTATTGAAGTCCTAAGATGAACATACCTTGCCACAAAAAGCAATATATTTGGAGAATAGCTTCTTGATTCTCTCTTTCTCATCTTTTCTTAGAGCTTCAAGTTTCTCATCATTCAAAGATCTTGCTGGAAGTTTTCCAACTACAAGAAAAAAAATCACAAAACTAAGCTAAACCGAATTGAATTTCAAAAGAAAGAAAAACTAATCTTATGCACAAACCAAAAACTTACATGGTGTATAAACATAATCCTTAGAAATGCTATGAGTCACATGAAGAATAACAATGGAAATTGGATGAGAATTCCATTTCTTAAGAGCCCAATTTAAAGTATTAAATCCATCTTGTGCATCATCACCAATAGCAACATAGATTTTCTCTTTTTGTGTTGCATCCATTGTTGTCTAGATTGTGTTGGCAGAGAGGTTTAGTGTGAAAACAACCTTATAAATATCATCAATTTCAAAGGTTTGTTTTGTGGTTTTTTTTATGAGTTTGGTTTGAAACTATGTATTGTTATAAAATAATGTTTTTATTATGATTTGTAAGAGAAGAGTCCGAATGAAACGGCCAGGTTTGGACTTTTGTGTATGGAATGTCATGATTGGCAAATGGAGCTGGGGTCATAGATTTGCAATTTCTATGTTTTTTTCTTAGAATTCACTTTTGTTTTCTTATGGATTAAATAAAATAAGACACTGAAATTACTAGCTTCACTAGGACTTATTGATTATCATTTTTGAACTACTTCACTTACATAAATTGTAAAATACCTAGAGTATTAAATGAGGTATGCAGTTTCTTTATATATATATATATATATATATATATATATATATATATATATATATATATATATATATATATATATATATATATATATATATATATATATATATATATATATATATATATATATATATATATATATATATATATATATATATATATATATATATATATATATATATATATATATATATATATATATATATATATATATATATATATATATATATATATATATATATATATATATATATATATATATATATATATATATATATATATATATATATATATATATATATATATATATATATATATATATATATATATATATATATATATATATATATATATATATATATATATATATATATATATATATATATATATATATATATATATATATATATATATATATATATATATATATATATATATATATATATATATATATATATATATATATATATATATATATATATATATATATATATATATATATATATATATATAATATTTTAAATGTCTCATTTCAGATAGTTAAATATTATTGTTCTAGACCGATCAAATGATTCGATAAAACCAATTTAATTGAAAGATTCAATCTAAAATTTTATCTGTGTAAAGATGATGTACATGTAAATCTTCGCTAAGAGGTTGCACACTGGAATTCGACACTACACTCATTGCAGCAGTCGAAGTCGATCCAACGGCCTCCCATATTTCATGCAACATTCATCGGGGGAGGTTTTTACCGTTACTCGTACATAAACGCGACCACGTGCTAGACCATAATACAATTTCATTCATTCTTTCCAATTACACCTCTCCGATCTTACTGACTTGAACGTTTGAGTGATAACTTTTTTTGATAAATCCTTTATCCGTCCATCAAAGACGTTTGTCGCTGTATTGGAGAGCTTTTACGACGACCATCATCAGCACCTCACCAAATTTCTATTCCACAATGAAATAATGATGCAGTCTATGAGAATCGTTTCTTGATTCTCATAAAAATCCACGACGAACTCCTTTGTTACCATGCAACGACCATTTTTGGCAACCGATCAGATCATTGCAATGGTAGCTTCTAAATCAGCTTGATTGGTCTCTCATCGCAACGCCGACCCTGCGGAGGCCGCACCTATTTTCATCTCCAACGACTTCATCTCCTTATACTTCAATTCCTCCACCGGTCATCCGAGAAACTTTTTAAGTCCTATCATCATTCCAGTCTTTTCAACAACTACTCAAAAGATAAGTGTCCAAACATCTTCAGTTGTAAGTGCAAGCACCTGGCCCATAAATGTTTTAGAATCTTCAACAACTTCAACCCACACTCGAGATGCAGGGAGCAAACAATCTCATAACAAACATCTACAACCTGGTGCAACAACAACGTGCACACCTCCTGTGATGGGCTACAGAGTTCTAAGCCCAATAAGTTTATTAGGGAAAGGAAACAACCCTTTTGGTTTAAAGATTTTTATCATTATTAAGTGGGGTGTCTTTAGTAGTTTATCTTTAATGAGTTTTAAATAATTTTTATGTTGGCCCATGACCATAGTGTAGAAACCCTAATATTTATATTGTAATGTTGCCTCTTTATGGAGGAGAGAAAAATATATGTTAAAGCTGTTTTTTAGGTTTATCTTTCTTTTGATTATTCAAGTTTGATATTATCTTAGTGTAGATCCATCATTGGTGCTTTCATTATTGCATCTCAATCCTTCCATGGCTACCCCCAAACCACCTAATCCTTCCTCTAAGGAACTTATCGAGGAGGCTGTACAAATCTCCACCATCCATTTAAACAATGCTATGAGTGAAACTCAAGCACAAATGGATGAGAGATTTGACAAGCATACTGCAGATCTGGCTCAGTTAGCCCAGCAAGTGGGACAAATTAATACAAGAATGGAAACGGACAAGACGGTTGAAGATTCCAGATATGAATCAACACAACCCTACGCTATTCCATATCTGCCCCAAATTCCCTATAACCAAATCCCTAACATTCCCCCATTACCACCTTTTCGAACACCTAAACTTGAACTTGCTATATTTGATGGTTCTAATCCATTGGAATGGTTTTTTCAAGCGGATCAATTTTTTAGTTTTTACAATTTACCACTAGAAAATCGATTATCATTGATTTCTTTTTATATGAAAGGGGATGCTTTATCTTGGTTTAAATGGATGCACCAAAATTACCTTTTAACAGATTGGTTTTCTTTTATAAGGGCTTTGGAATTACGCTTTGGCCCCTCCACTTATGACAACCACCAGGCTGAGTTATTTAAATTGAAACAAGAAGGATCTGTCGTTGATTACCAAACACGGTTTGAGAAATTAGGGAACCAGGTTGTGGGACTGCCACAAGATGCTATTCTTAATTGTTTTATTTCCGGATTAAAAGTTGAAATCCGGAATGAAATGGCGATCCATCATCCATCATCTAGCTCACAAGCTATTGGTCTAGCAAAACTTATTGAATCTAAGCTTGACTCCAAACAAAAATATCCAAAACCATACTCAAACACCTTTAGCCGCACACCATCATACAACAAAACACCTACTGACCCAAAACCATCTAGCACCCCCAACCTCCAAAACTCCCTATTCGACGCCTATCTAATACCCAGATGCAAGAACGCCGTGCCTAAGGACTTTGTTTTAATTGTGATGAAAAATTCATCCCTGGTCACAAATGCGTTTCAAACAGATTTCTATTACTTCTTGCCGAAGATGATTTATCAGAACCCACCCAAGGGGAGGAAGATTCTCAAGAAGCAGCTGCTGGTACCGATTCAAGTAACACTTATTTTCAATTGTCCCCCCAAGCCTTGACATGCCAGTTTTCGCCCCAAACACTTAAGTTTCAAGGTCTGATTGAAGGAATTTAGGTTATGGTCCTAGTGGATACGGGTAGCACTCATAACATCCTTCAACCAAGGATTGCCCACCATCTTAATCTCTAAACTACCCCTATTCCCCAATTTTCAGTTATGGTTGGAAATGGATCTCATCTCCAATGTGAGGGCATTTGTAACAATGTCAAACTTACCTTACAAAATAAGCCTTTTTCACTTCCTTTCTACCTTTTACCAATAGAGGGTGCATATGTTGTTTTAGGCATGGCATGGCTACGCACTCTTGGACCTATCAATGCTGATTTCTCCATTCCTTCTATTACCTTCACTCACCAAGATACACTAATTACCCTCAAAGGCGACCCAAAAACTCTACCCTCCTTAACAACCTTTCACCAACTTCGCCACCTTCTTCACACAGATTCCATTGCTTCCCTCCACCTCATGACTTTCCTACCTACTGAAACAAGAATCCAACTCAAACAACCAAGCCGATCAGTACCTTCCAAAACCGAACTTCACTCACCCCAACCCATTGAACCGCCAAATGTTTCTCCAACCACAAATTCTCCACTCGACCCTAACATTGCCAGTCTCATAAAAAAATACCCAACTGCCTTCCACCTTCTAGACCATATGACCATCGTATTCCCCTACTTCCATCTACTGCACCTATTAATGTTAATCCATGCAGATACCCACACTCCCAAAAAGAAGCCATGACCTCACTCATTTAGGATATGTTAAGGGAAGGCATCATTATCCCTAGTAACAATCCTTTTCCCTCTCCAGTCCTTCTTGTCAAGAAAAAGGATGGCAGTTGGCGATTTTGTGTTGATTATCGCGCCTTAAATGCAGTTACAATCAAAGATCGCTTCCCTATCCCCACTATTGATGAACTTTTAGATGAGTTGGGTAATGCAACAATATTTACCAAGATAGATCTACGCTCAGGTTATCATCAAATACGAGTTTCATCGGAAGATACTCATAAAACAACATTTCGCACATTTGACGGTCATTACGAGTTCCTAGTTATGCCCTTTGGTCTAACAAATGCACCATCTACATTTCAATCTGCTATGAACGAACTGTTAAGACCTTACCTTCAACGGTTTGTTTTAGTATTCTTTGATGATATACTCATTTTCAGCTCATCCTTGAGTGATCCTTGATCCATTTAGATATCATTTTTAATGTTTTAAAGTCCAATTCATTTCTTGCAAAATTTTCAAAGTGTGTTTTTGCAGTTAACAAGGTGAACTATTTGGGCCATGTTATATCAGAGGGTAGTGTTGCTGCAGATCCAGAAAAAATTCAAGCAATCGTGGATTGGCCGGTGCCACGTTCTCTCACGGCATTGCGGGGTTTCCTCGGTCTCACCGGTTTCTATAGACGCTTTGTGCGACACTACGCCACTCTCGCCGCTCCTCTCACCGATTTATTGCGTTCTACTAAATTTTCATGGAGTACAAAGGCTGCTTTGGCCTTTACAGAATTGAAAAAGAAAATGACTGACATGCCGGTGCTGGCTTTGCCAGACTTCACAAAAACATTTATTATTGAGACAGATGCTTCCGGAGTTGCGATTGGTGCCGTCCTCTCCCAGAATGGCCATCCCCTCGCCTTTTTCAGCAAAAAAAGTGCTCTTGTATGCAATCCAGTTCTGTCTATGTCCGTGAGATGTACGCTGTAACAAAATCAGTCAAGAAATGGCGTCAATACTTAATTGGTCA